ACATACACTCTAATAATCATATTTGACATATTGCATCCCCTTGAAATAACGCAGGAGAGAGTAGATATAAAGATGGACTATAGTGAAACATTATCTCTTAATTAAAAGGGATAGTCATGATTAAAGGAATTTTGTATAAGTGCGGCCTGCAACAACTTAATAATTAAATTTTGTGAAACATTTCCTTAAATCAAAATATTTTCCCATATTCCCTATTAAAGACATAGCATTTTGGAGATGATTTTGACACTCCACTTCAAGTTTTAGAATACAGTACATCTAACCTCACTTAGTATATTCAATGTTTTACTCCCCATCCTTTACTAATATTCTTCAACCCTTGTCTCATTCTATATATACCCATTCCCTCTCATAAGCCACAAACCAAATGACAAAAGACCATGAGTAGAAAGAAAGTTAAGTTTGCCTATATTACCTAATGGCCCCACACAAAAAAAACCACATTCAAGAAAAGAAAGAAGGGGCTGATGAAGAAAGTGAGTGAACTTAGTGGTCTCTATGACGTTAAAGCCTATGCAATCATTTACAGCCCCAATGTCTCGCAACCAGAGGTTTGACCTTCTTTTTTAGGAGCCTAACATGTGCTTGTTGACTTTTACAGAATGCCCGAGATGAGCAGAACAAGAAGATGGTGATCGAGAGAGCTTATTGCACTAAAGGATCACCAAGATAACTGACTAACTGAAGAACCAGCGCAAGGACATTTGCAAGAAGGAGATCACGTTGGTCATGCTCCAAAGTCATATTGGGAAGCCCCTCCACCAACTAAATGTCATTGATCTTAAGGATTTGGGTTGGCTCATAAAACAACACCTTAAAGAAATCTAGAAGAGGATAGAAACACTTAGCAAGTCACTTTATCCTCAAGGGACCACCTGATGGGGGAGTCATGAAGGGTCCTTAGGAGACATCTGCTCAAATCAAGGAGGATTCTCTTGTGTAGGAGCTACAACAACTGCAAGAGTGGTCCATTGACAGGATGAACTCGTAAGTACAAAAACAGTTTCATATAGGG